AAAGGAGGTAATGCAAATCAGTTTTCTTTTGTTTCTTGCTTCACAGATTCCTCCTTTGACGTCATATCCGGCAACTTTAACTGCAAAAAAGTCCATGAAGATGAAATTTTCGCCTGACAAGATATATTACAAATCTTCTTAGAATGTTCCAATTACTATAAATGTGTAAAGATCCCACAAGTGATATAGGCACTTTAAAGCAGTACACAACAAAAGAAAAAGCAATCAATCGCTATGTAACTGTTACCGTGGTTGAAAACGATCATTTATTCGTGAACCTTTCGAAAGAGAGAGGTTCAACCATGTGCGGGAACAGTAATCATAACAAACCCGCGAAAAAGCTTGGCATAACATAGGTACCCCAAGATGTAAAGTAAATAAGATCTCGGATGCCTTAACATGGCTCCCCAAAATGTGAAACATTTTAACATCAACGTTCAATGTTAACTACGTGTCCGTAAACTACGTGTCCGTACGAGTTCGAAAATTAATTTAGATCTCGAGGCTCCTTGTCGGGGATTCCCGGTCTTTCTTCAGCTTCCAACAGCAACACAAGCTTGTCTATCGGTCGGTCCAACGTTGATCCTGTAGGCATTCTTAAACTTACTGCTCTAACCAAACCTTGTTCATCAGTTTGGGTATCCAGAACTTTAGCCAAAGACCACTTATTTCTGGGAAGATCGTTATCTTTCAACAGCACCACGTCGCCTTCTTTAAAGTTTCGTTTCTCTTTGGTCCATTTCTGTCTTGGCTGCAGATTCTGCAAGAACTCGTTCCTCCATCGTTTCCAGAATTCGTTCGTTAAGTGCTGGACTTGTGAGGTGAGATTAAATCCTCCCTTTCTGCACATTCCTTTCACATTTCTCACTAAATCAACCGCGTCTTCTTCCGTTGCAACCGATTTTAATCCGTCATCGACATAGAAATTTCTAATATAGAAGAGTATTCTTCTTTCGACATAGAAGAGTATATGCTGCTTCAGTACCAAACTCACTTTCATGGCCATCTGCAGTGCGTTTCAGCGCGTAGTTGGAACATCCGGGCGAAGAACCAGCTCCGAAGAGGTGAACCGTCATGCAATACTCTTGCGGTTCGGTTGTAAGTTCGCCGTTGGGCCACCACAAAAAGCGGAGGAAATCCTGGTCTTCCTCTTTGACCTTTACTTGGTAAAACATCTGCTCGATATCCGCCAAGAACGCGATCTTCTCTTGTCTGAATCTCGTAAGAACCCCGACCAGCTTGTTCGTGAGGTCAGGTCCTTGCAGCAGGTGGTCATTTAAAGATTCGCCAAGATATCGGGCCGAACAGTCAAAAACGACCCTGATCTTGTTTGGTTTCTGCGGGTGATAAACACCATGATGAGGTATGTACCATACTCTTCGTTCTTTGGTGGTCAATTCTTCCTGTCCAATCTTTCGAGCGTAGCCTTGGTCACCGTTCATAAATATCACATAATCATTTCGGTACTTGTCGTCGTTTTGAAGCCGTTTCTTCAAGCCACTGAGACGCTGTTCGGCTGCTGGTCGGTTGTTTGGAAGTTGGAAAATCTCGTTCTTGAAAGGCAACGGCATTTTGTAGTGCGCATCTTCACCATGGCAAATCCCATCCTCGGCTTTCTCAAGAAATTTGCGATCCTCTTGGGACAGACCCATTCCACGCTCTCTTTCCGAAAACTCGATCTCGAACATTTCTTTGATCGTGTTGGGTGTAATTATCTCTTTAACCTTTCTCTCTATGGTGACATATCCCTTGGCATTACCATTGGAACTGCTTGTCATCATCTGGACTCTGTTACATAACACTGCGTCACTGGTGCTCTGATTCACTGGACCATTCATGTGCCAGCCCAACAGTGATTTCACCGCATATGGCTCATCTTCGTTTCCATGGATCACATCTCTTGGTCGCAAGGCACTTGGACAATTCAGACCAATCTCAGCAAACTCTTGGAGTTTTGTTCCATCATTCGACTTGATAGATGGCCAGCTAGACAGCTTGGTAACATAGGCATTGGCAATCTTGAAGGAGTCTCCATAATGTTTCTTTAGTAACAATTTAGCATCCTGGAATGAGGATTCGGATTTTCTTTGGCAGCATCCCTTGATCAGTTCTTTGGCCTTTCCTTCAGTGCATTGCTCTAGGCAATACAGCAATTCTGTGGGATCTTTAACCCTTGACTCTATCAATGTATCAAAGGCAGTTATAAATGCTGGATACTCCATTATATCACCAGAAAATGTAGGTGGTTTGTGGGTAGGCAGGGATCCTTTCAATTGTTGGGTTGCAATCATTTCTGTTAGTTCAGTCTGTCTCTTTTGTATCTCAAGGAATTCTTTATCCATATTAATTTTCTCAACTGAGCCAGGAGAAAATTGAAGACTCTGTTGTTCCACTTGTTTATTGGATACACTAGAAGCTTTTGCTAAAGGCATCTGTCCAACAGCTAGATGAGCAGGCTTTTCTTTATCTTTGATATCAGGAATGGTAAAGCATGAAGCATCTGGATTCAACGGTGATGTTGGTGAGCTGGTATTAATTGGACAATCATTTGGACAATCTTTGCTATTGATGCCTTTGATAACCTTGGCACTATCATTCAGTTCCTGTTCATTGTACTGTCCATAATCTGCTCTTCCACCTTAACTTCAGCAATTTGTTGTTTAAGTTCCAACTCTTCAGCAGCTATTCTTAGTGCTTGTTTCTCCTTAAGAAATGAAGCTCTTACTTCTAGGGCTGCAGCTTTGGCCTTTGCTGCAATAAATTTAGCTCTTGTGGATGTCGATGAAGCCACAGAGGGTCTTGAACTGCTGGATTTACTAGACTTGCACGAGATGGTTTCGTATCTGAGTGGCATTTCTTCTTTAGCTTTAGTTTTGGCCAGAAATTCTATAATTTGCTTCTTAAACTCAAAAACATGTCGATCATGAGCGTCATACCATTGTTGGGCTAATTCAATATCCCTTTCATCTTCCATTTCCTCGATATATAACTCATGAGCCTTCTCCATATTTACGAACAACTGATCCAACTGCAACGCATGAGATCTCACCGTCTCTTCATTAATTACGCTTAACATTAGGGGCGTCATCTTAATTTGCTTCGTAATTTGCTTTAACACACCAGATAAAGCGTACTCACGATTTTGTGCCAGACACCTTAAGGTTACTTCCTTGCTGTTCGTTGTCGGAACAGTTTGTTGACTTTCCATTACCATATTTCCAAAGTTTATGTTCTGGTCGCTCGTATTCTTTCCATGAGATTCTATGGGCTCCGTATTAACGTTTGTAAAAAACAATGGCGAAAACAATGGCGGACAGTCACTGAGCTCTGCAGGTAAGTTCATTTGCTCCGTATTTACAATGTCTAACAAGCTCATATCACTTCCAAAATCCATAATTATATCCGTTCGACCTTTATCCTCTGATGACCATTCGTATGGTTGAACTGTAACTGTTACCGTGGTTGAAAACGCTCATTTATTCGTGAACCTTTCGAAAGAGAGAGGTTCAACCATGTGCGGGAACAGTAATCATAGGCATAACATAGGTACCCCAAGATGTAAAGTAAATAAGATCTCGGATGCCTTAACACGCTAATTGCCTCGTCTAACAATAAGCTTAAAAAAGAAGTGACAACATTTTATCGACAATTATCTTATTTTATTCAACATTTATCCTCCCATGCTCCCACATCTTCAACAAGCCTACCGCCTCGCTCTCTCGACACAAAGGTGTCATCGGCGGAGCATCCATTGGTACGCTCTTCTTTACTCATAAATAACCAATATGTTAGGGCTTCTTTAATGAAAATTCATGAATTTTAAATTCAAATGGGATTTAGTTTCAAATAGTTTTGCACCGAATTCCCAGCGGTAAACCGAACAAATAAGCGATAGCAAACACGAATAAGCGGAAACACGCCACTCAAAAATACGATCTAATTGTGTACCAAACGTGCCATGATTGGGCTTCAAAAACATGTGACGTTTGAAGATTGACTTTTGATGTTTGCACACGCTGCGAAGTTGGCATAAGGAAATAGAGATCGAATAGAGATCGAATGGATATCGAATGGTTATCAAGCAGATTTACCCCGATCTACTGGAATCCAAATAGCAACTTCGGCTTCACAACTAAGTTGTCAACAACTAAAATATCCCCAAAGGTCTTCGACTGTGTTTAATGCCTCACTTCAAATCGGAAATTTGTGCGCTAAGTTACGGATCAAACGTCCTCAAATGTTTGAAGCCCAATCATGCCACGTTTGGTACCCAATTAGATCATGTTTTTGAGTGACGTGTTTCCGCTTAGGTGCAAGCGATCGTATTAGCTCATGGAAAACTCGGCCTCGGTTTATAATTGTTAAATGTTATGTTATGTTACATTTTCGAAATGAAAAATAGGCGAGATCTTCTGCGCGTACATCCCCGAGATATGTCAAACAAGCATCTTGGCACCAACGGCCAACAACACGCACAGTAAATTTACATGGAAACATTTCCGAATAATCATGCGACGTTTTCAACATCGTCCATGGTATCGTAAGTGGTGTTAGCTGATCATAATCGGCAAGATTGACATCGGCGCCAGTGGCTATCAAAGCCATCACCATGTTATAGACATTGCGAGTTTCAGTGTCGCCTTTAAACGCTTCAGCATCACTCTTTAAATTCCTGATAGCGTCACCCTGTGACTTTCGTTTAAGTTCCTCCAATAACATATCTCTTTTATCCACTGGGGCAATAGGTAGTGGGTGGAGTAGTACAATTTTACGGAGATGAAATAGTGTGTCCTCTTCATTTTAATCGACGCCCGAATGGTTATATAATAGGTATTCGGAAGTTAAAATTTTGGAAAATAGCAACCTAAAACCGGGAAAATGTTGACCGGATCTCTATTATAGAAGATATAGCGTTTTGAGCATTATAATTAAAATGAAGTCTTGCTTGAAACGCTATATCTTCTCTAATATAAGAGATCCGGTAAACATTTTTCCGGTTTTAGGTTGCTATTTCCCAAAATTTTAACTTCCGAATACCTATTATAACCATTCGGGCGTCGATTAAAATGAAGTATTGCTCAAAAGGCAATTTCTTCTCCAATATAAGAGTTCCGGTAAACATTTTTCCTGCATTAGAAACTCCATTGAATCGGCTTCCATGTGCTGCAAAAGGCAACTAAACATTCTATCCGCGACAATGGTAACTTTAGGTTCCCATTTGTCCAAATTTTAACTTCCGAATACCTATTATTATAACCATTCTGGCGTCGATTATAATGAAGTCTTGCTCAAAACGCTATTTCTTCTCCAATATTAGAGTTCCGGTAGTAATTGTTGCGGCATTACATTGGACCCGAAGAAAGATCTTCAAGCCTGCGTTGATAGGAACTACATGTTGCGACATGGTCTTGAATTTTTTGGCGCTGAGCTACCTCATAGTTTTTATGCAAAAAGCACAGCATATCCAGTGTCTGATGGATATGCGAATGTGGAAGAAGAAATGAAAGAAGGTGAGGAAAAAGTGGAGGATGAAGAGAAAATCACGCCTCAGAAACAAAAGGAAATTTGTGATGGTTTTGTTCCATATTATTTATTTTAATCGACAAAGTTATAATAGGCATTCGGAAGTTAAAATTTGGATAAATTACAACCGAAATTTGCCATTATTGTGGAATCATCTTGTAAGATGTTACGTTGTGATACGTTACCTTACGTTGTAAAATGCTAGGTTACGTTGAGATGTTACGCTATGTTGTGAGACGTTACGTTACGTTGTGAGACGTTACGTTGCAAGATGCAGTGGCGTAGCCAGCCCGCAGATTTGGTCGTGCTATGCAAATTTTTAACTGAATTATATATTCAAATCTTTACAAATCCATTGTTATTAAGCTATGTAAATCACTACAAATTACCATAGCATGACTAAATGTTATGGCTGGCTTCGCCACTGGCAAGATGTTACGTTGTGAGACATTACGTTACGTTGTGAGACGTTACGTTGTGAGACGTTACGTTGTGAGACGTAACGCTACATTGTGAGACGACACACTGTGTTGTAAAAAGTCACGCTACACTACGTTACATTACGTTTGACCAATAGGAATGGAGCTTGTTTGTTTTCAGGACTAAAGGACAGCTTTTCCTGCCGGCTTTCTTCCAACCTCGTACCCAGGGCCTTATCTCCGCTCCCGCCCGCCCCCGCTCCCACTGCGAAAGTTTCGAAAGGGGTATCTAGTACGTATTCCTTATAAGGAAGCGCAAATAGAAACGAACAAATAGCGACACTAGCCCCAATCCTAACCCCAATCCTAATCCTAACCCCAATCCTAATCTGATCATGTATGACATGAGTAGCGCTACAGCCGCCACTCATGGCTTACTTTCGATGTTTTGGTCTATAATGCAGGAAAAATGTTTACCGGAACTCTTATATTGGAGAAGAAATAGCGTGTCCTCTTCATTTTAATCGACGCCCGAATGGTTATATAATAGGTATTCGGAAGTTAAAATTTTGGGAAATAGCAACCTAAAACCGGGAAAATGTTGACCGGATCTCTATTATAGAAGATATAGCGTTTCGAGCATTATAATTAAAATGAAGTCTTGCTCGAAACGCTATATCTTCTCTAATATAAGAGATCCGGTAAACATTTTTCCGGTTTTAGGTTGCTATTTCCCAAAATTTTAACTTCCGAATATATATATCATGATTGATGCTAGCCTGTCTACTTAAGGAGATATCGCTGTCGAAAGGTGACTTAGTGATTTGACTGCCGATTTTCGGAAAGTCACCTACATTTGAGCAGCCATAGCTCCAAAAGTATGCATGCTATCAGACTGAAAAACATATTGGCAGATTCAGCATGACAAGGGCTTTATTCTGATATATCAAAGGATTGATGGTAGCCTGTCTACTTAAGGAGATATCGCTGTCGAAAGGTGACGCACTTCCGTAGAGACTTAGTGATTTGACTGCCGATTTTCGGAAAGTTGCCTACCTTTGAGCAGCCATAGCTCCAAAAGTATGCATGCTATCAGACTGAAAAACATATTGGCAGATTCAGCATGACAAGGGCTTTATTCTAATATATCAAGATTGATGCTAGCCTGTCTACTTAAGGAGATATCGCTGTCGAAAGGTGACTTAGTGATTTGACTGCCGATTTTCGGAAAGTCACCTACATTTGAGCAGCCATAGCTCCAAAAGTATGCATGCTATCAGACTGAAAAACATATTGGCAGATTCAGCATGACAAGGGCTTTATTCTGATATATCAAAGGATTGATGGTAGCCTGTCTACTTAAGGAGATATCGCTGTCGAAAGGTGACGCACTTCCGTAGAGACTTAGTGATTTGACTGCCGATTTTCGGAAAGTTGCCTACCTTTGAGCAGCCATAGCTCCAAAAGTATGCATGCTATCAGACTGAAAAACATATTGGCAGATTCAGCATGACAAGGGCTTTATTCTAATATATCAAGATTGATGCTAGCCTGTCTACTTAAGGAGATATCGCTGTCGAAAGGTGACTTAGTGATTTGACTGCCGATTTTCGGAAAGTCACCTACATTTGAGCAGCCATAGCTCCAAAAGTATGCATGCTATCAGACTGAAAAACATATTGGCAGATTCAGCATGACAAGGGCTTTATTCTGATATATCAAAGGATTGATGGTAGCCTGTCTACTTAAGGAGCTATCGCTGTCGAAAGGTGACGCACTTCCGTAGAGACTTAGTGATTTGACTGCCGATTTTCGGAAAGTTGCCTACCTTTGAGCAGCCATAGCTCCAAAATGGCTTCTCATGAGTTGTCGGCGCTGGATATGAATCGAAAAGCTTAAATTTTTTAATGATGTACGAGTATGAACATAAATCTCAAAGGGCCATCTTTTAGAATTTTATTAAAAAGCGAAACAGCGAAGAAATCTGCGAAACAATCTCGGTGATATTATTTGTACTTGTCATATTATGGCCGTTTGAGAACTTGAGCCGCTTTCAATACAGTTGTTTGGCGATCTTGTTTGCGTCGTGTACTACATATAGTAAAGATGTTTTTAGCGTAAAGTATTCAAATAATTGCCGGCATCAATGGTATGTCGTCTAAAGTTTAACAGCTCTGCCCACCAAAGCGTGAATTTGCTCCGACCAGAATGATTTCATTCGCAGGGTTGTAAAATAAGTGCTGTCGGGTCTTGATGGAAATCAGACGGCTTGCACTCTAATGAGTTGTCCTCGCTGGATATGAATCGTAAAGCTTTAAATTTCTACGATGTACGAGTAAGAATATAAATCTCAAAGGGCCATCTTTTAGAATTTTATTAAAAAGCGAAACAACGAGGAAATCTGCGAAAGAAGCTAGGCGACTTTGAGCGTACTTGACATTATCATGGCCGCTCGACATTTGAGCCGCTTTCAATGCAATTGTTTGGCGATCTTGTTTGCGTAGTGCATTACAGAAAGTAGAGATGTTTCTTGCTTAGAGTATTCGAATAACTGTTAGGAAAAATGATACGGCATCTAAAGTTCAATAACTTTGTCTGGAAAAACGTAGATTTGCACAAACTGGATTAGTTGCATTCACAAAGGTATAAAATTTATGCTGTCGGTGCGTACAGGAAATCAGACTGCTTTACTTTACTGAAGTTGTCTGTCGCGATTTCGCAACTTAAGAGTGGGTTAATAACCTCACAATATTCTTAAAAGCTTTCTTTCGATGGGCCATCTTTTAGTTTTTTCAAAAATTTATTGTAAAGCTAATAAATCGAAGATGAATAGAGCCTTGCGTTCACCCTTGCCGCTGACCAGCCACTTTTGTGAAAAAATTAGGAAAATTTACAGAGCTACTGTGGGCAAACTAAATGAAATAAAATTCTAATTTTTGTCCATGTACTAAAAAATATGACAAATAAAAATGGCCTTTTTAATTTTTTTTATTTCCGTCGTAAGCGAAGCGGCCACACTAGTTTGTATGAAAACAAGCCGTTCTAGCTCCGGATTCGAGCGAATCCGGAGCTGCGAATCCGGAGCTGAATATCCGATCATCCGGGGGTCCTCGGCGCAGACCGTAAGGAACGCAGGCTCTGCGAACGAGCTTGGTTGCCATCGCATTTGCCGCCGAAGTTTGAGTGTCAAACGTCGAAGTTTGTCAAACGATTTAAGGTAAATAATTTTGTCTTTCATTATGTTACGTTTTGCATTCGCAAAGTTGATATCATTGGAACATTTAGAAATTAAACTGCTTCTGCTCTGCTTCTTCAATAACGTTTGTATAAACGATAACGTTTGATTCGAGTTGACATGTGAGTCATTTGATCATTCGAGTCGTTCCTATTTGATTATTTTCCTATTTGTTTCATAGTCATAAGCCGTGTTTACACTACAAGCCTTGGCCTAGCAGCCTAGGCCTGGATTTTGGTAGTGTAAACACACTTTGGCCTGGCCTAGGCCTGAGGGAATCTGGGCTCACATCAACCGTTGGCCCAGGCCTGGCCTTGGCCAGCCAAATGTCAGTGTAAACACTTTCGGCCAGGCCTTGGCCTTATTGCTATATGGTAATATGGTCGGCAGTAGTGATATTCAGCGGCAAACACGTGAAAAACGACTAAAAAAATGAACTATGGCGAAGGGAAATCCGTGGACAGACGATGAAACCGAAGCTTTAGTGTAAACGCTCCATATTTACTTTGGCCAGGCCAAGGCTTGTAGTGTAAACATGGCTATAGTATCGTTTGCACTTTCCCTTTTGGCACATATGCCAAAAGTGTGTTTTTTATGGCAACAATTAATAATAAAAATGATGAGACGTTCTCTGGCTAAATATATATTTATTAAATTTTGTATACAAAATTTCCAATACCAGTGTTTTTGGTTTAAAATGTCTAGTTTATTCTAAGTTTATATTGTTGAGGTTTACTGTGATAAATGAGTGCAAAGTAGCTACAAGTCAAAATTAAGCAAAAATTGTATCTATATTTAACTAACCCTAACCAAATTACAACAATGGGGAAATCGGTTTCAAATGTCTTTTCTTTCCCTCACTAAAGATACTTTAGATAAAAAGTACATAAACAGTTCTATTTTGCGGCAAAGTACCTCTCTAGCGTGTTTTGGTGTGATCTCTCGTTCATTTAGTTCAATTCTCACTTTATCCGTCAGCAATAAAAAGTGAGTTCGGCAAACTCTGCTAGTTTCTCGGCAGTTCTGACTTCTGAGGGCTTCGGGTATAGACGTGATCACATTTTGATGTAGAAAATTAGTTACTGTATGCTATAATATGTATCTTGAATATCATTACCGAAGAATATTGAAAATTAAGCAGGTATAGGAATATTAATTGTTATAAAAAAACATTGGGCCATCTGTTGTCTGTCCGCTTAAAAGGGGTTGATTTGTTCATTGGGACCTCCACTGAGGTGTCAACTTCCGCTAAAGAGGGGTGTCCACCTAATAAAGGTTACATTATAAGAGTACACGAGAGTAACTGGCTTAAGCCAATGGTCACAAATGATATTTTGCTAAGCACGTACCTCTCGTGTGCCTCGGCCTTTGTGGTATAATGGTATTGTGTCAATTTAATGAAATTCTGTGTTTCCTTTTGAATGTAAGGATATGCAAAAGTACATAAAAGGAGATCTGATATGGGCGAAAATGACAGGCCATCCTCACTGGCCAGCCAAGGTAGGTAGTATACAATATTATACAATATTGGGTAGGTAGTATACAATATTATACAATATTGGGTAGGTAGTATACAATATTATACAATATTGGGTAGGTAGTATACAATATATTGGGCAAGGTTGGTCGAGCAAAATAAAATCAACCATTTGCCAAGGCCAAAGTCAGAGTCATCCAACTGCGACGTCATAATTAGGAAGCGCTTTCCTTCGTCGAACGCAATTTGAGACAAGACTGTATAGTAACGGCATTGTTAAGGAGTGAATTTCTTAAAAAATAGTTCAAATTAAGCGAGTTCGAGTGGGATTCTACTGTATAGCCATTACAAGCTCTTTGAGATGAAATTGAAAGTGAATTCTTTACTCTTTTTAAACTAGATCACTGGTCCTGGAACAGGAAACACTTATATGGTTCATTTTTTTGGAACCAATGAAACGTATGTAATCCTTTTCTTCTTGAAAGAATCATGTTTGCATTACTGGCCGATCGGACATAACTTGACATAAATATTCTAAGCAATATACGCTCTTCGATTTTTCATTTTTAGTGCAAAGTTTCTTCGCCCTATTGTGAGGGGTCCGATTCAACCAAGTCAGTCGGTCGGTCAGTCAGTCTAATATGCATTTTTTTAACACTGGTGAATTTAATACAGTGTCGTAACCTCAAAACTATATCTTCGGCGACAAACAAAGGCTTCTGAACATTTTGTTAAGTCTACCCTTTGGCAGTTAGTGTTTATTTGTAGTATAACGTTAAAAATACAAGACTGGGTCAGTTTGTAAAAGTTAGCGTTGACAGATGTAAAATTAAAATAACAAAAAATGAAAATATTCCATATTCATTGCATTTTCCGTTCAATTTCTTTATGCATCATATTACAGTAGCTATGCAACTAACACATTTCTGCTAAGGACGGTTTGCAAACCGTTCATATGAAATATAGTTAACCATGTTTTTCTCCGTGATTTGAAACCCATCCTTGAACCACTGTGCAAAGGAAACCTTGCACTATCCTTGGGATCGCTAGTTTACTTTAGAAGCAAAATACAAGCAATTCTTTACTTTATTTTTCTTTTATTTTTGAACAGTGCGAAAATGCATCCTAAACACTTTGCACCTTACCAGTCTGCATCGGATTTCCCAAGTAAGAAGAGAAAAGGGTTTGAGAAGGCCCTGAAAGAAATTGAAATGGATAGGTATATATTGATTTCCTGTTTGTTTTTGGACCAGGAACCGGTCCCCAAACGCTGCTTCACACTGGTTTTATTGCTAGTTCAAAAGAATAGCTTCAACTGACATAGCTTCGACTGAAAAATCTCAATGGTTTTTATAAAAAGACTATATGATAACCGGTTATACGGTAATAATGTGTCACCGGTAGTGTGTCACAGTGTTGTGTATTGAATGTCTGGACTTTCAGACGCAGATTAGGACGACCCAAGCAAATCAGCTTCAAATCAAAAAGGCTTCAAATTCTTTCGTGACATCAACTTTTTTCAGGAAAGAATATGAGGAAAGAAGGAAAACTGAGGAAGTAGAAAACTCTCCTGAGAAACTCAAACAGGTACATTTTCCTATATGCATACCTTGAACTTTTTTTATATTCATGGTGAAGAGCACGATTGCAAGGGAAACTATTTGTCTTGTCCTGAACGGTCGGTGTATCGGGAACAGGCTCCCAGCCTCCCACTCGGTATTACCAAGGCCGGTGAGAGGGCAGAATGGCCAAGAGAGCTCGTGAGGCCCGGTGGAAAAGCTGTTTTGGATCCTCAACCCACACATAGGACCACTACCCTTAAGTTTTTTTTATTTCCAACCTTTTCATGCTACATTTATAGGATATTTATAGCCCTCCGCATCCTCCTTTTCTATCGGAAAACTACAAGTATTTTGCGTAATAATATTTTAGACCGAGAACGCCTCTGTCAATCCTCTCATGGTGCTAAATGATTCTATGGCCTCTCTTGAGATGTGAGTATAAATTTAAGATTTTGAAATTATGCGGCGTTACCATGGTGACTATGATCGGAAAATGGCGTCCATAAGGACGGCTCCCATATTTATCTACAGAAATAGGATTGCTCTGATAAAAATATCACCATTGGATTGAGTGATTTAATGAAGAAATAAATCAAAATTTTATGTACAACACTTTTTAAAATGATTAAGTGTCGTCCTAACATAATAATGAATTACATGAATTGATTACATATAAGGTATAAGAGTACGTCTCGATCACCTTCATTCCCTCGCGTCAGCAAAGCGTGTGCAAAAGCAAATCCTTCCGTCCTTGGTTTTCCTCCATCGACTGGTTTTTAAATTAAAATCTTTTTATGCAGTCAAATTTCTTTCCTCTTTGTAATTTATTTGATTTTTTAGTCTGTAACCAGCATACTTATTTAGGGTACATGTATTAGAGCAATTCTGTATAGTTGCTAAAGATTTCATGTATTTAGAGAGTTTTAGTCCATATTCTGCAGTTTTCTGACATCAGGTTTTTTCAGGAACGGATGGGACGACGAAATTGAAGAAAACCAGGTATTTCCGATTTTTACAGCTTGTTGTCGGTTAGTTAAGAATGTGAAACCTTCCATAATTTTAGCCAAGGTCCAAGTAAGCGAGATAAAGGTACCGAGAGGGGAGTCGAGATAAACTTATGGCTGATTTCCAGTTACTTACAGTTAAGTTTTCCACGTACGTGCACGCACGTATTTGATGAAGAGAATTTAGCATTCCGCACCCACCGGACGAAAAAATAGATTTGCTCCAACTTTGCAACCCCCTGCAAAGGTGCCATTGCCGTAATCGCATCAAATTTGCTATTGTGCAAATTTTGTTCAAATTTGGAAAGCAAATTGGTAAATAAATTTTTACCCTCATATTGGTAAATACAATTCTCTTTTTTGAGAAGGAATGGGCATAGGATAAATTTGGCTCAAATTACCTTTCATTTGCACAAGTGAATTTGTGGGCATTTTCGTCCATAATTTGGTTTCTAAATTTGCCAAAATATTTGCAACCTTGCAAATTTGATGCGATTACGGCAATGGCACCTTTGCACCGGGTTGCAAAGCCTAGTGCAAATCTGTTTTTTCGCCCTGTGACCTTTTAGCATGCTTTAACAGTTCTATGTGTTAAATAGGAGTTACTGAGAAGAGTTTAAACTTTTACGTGTGTGCACGTGAAAAACGCGTAACTGGAAATCAGCCATTAATCCGGTCACAAAAACCTCTTTTTGGAATAAAATTAATTTCTCGTCAGCTTAGTCAATCAGAATGACTTTTGTTCGTGGTATTCCCCACGTTTTGTAAAGAAAGTTTTTGAACAAGTAAGTTATTTATAACTTACAAACTTTACCATTTTACCATGTCCAGCTTTGAGGAAGATCAAATATTATCAACTGCAACTGACAATGTTATCTGACATATATTAAGTACAAGTATATAGGAAAGTCAAAGTTATGTTATAGATAAAGTTACGTCAGAAGGCTAGAAGCGCTCAATGAATTATGGTCTTTGTGGTCACGCAGAGAGAAATCATTCCAACATGGCTTCTATCGAAAGATGCTGTTATGAGGTTGTCAAATCACTTTTAGAGGCCATTCAAACCAACAAGACTCCAGTTATTCTAAGAACGTTTGGACGAGCCTTTTTGGTTGTATACCTGTCAAAGGCAGTGCGGTGGCGTACTTTCTTCGCCAAATTTTACGAGTCGAAGTGGGGGTGCTGTATTCTCGCGACTACCTGTAGTGTCGGACACTTGATTCTTGATTCTGACAAGTGTGGTTGGATAAAATCCTTGGAGAAACTCCTAAATGTTGGAATATAATCTCGTGAAAAATAGCCAAACAATGCCTGATAATGTAGCTCCAATCAAGCTCATCAAAACCTGAAAAAAGGATATAATCTTTATAGATTGTGGATACAAGTTTATGTTAAAGCCGGTACTCTTCTACAAATGTACAATCCTGTGAAATCCTGTGTTAATGCTTCGACGACGAGCGTTAGTTATCCTGTTTATGTTCATTTAACCCAACTACCAAGTGGAATATTCCAAATGTTTTTGTACGCTATCGACAGTAAAGGCAAGAGACTCTTTTGCCATCTTGCAGAAACAAATGGCGTACGAGATTGACATCATTGTTTCAATGCCGATGAGCTTTTGGAGCCACATCAGGCATTGTTTTATTTGTTTGTCTATTTTTCACGAGATTATATTCCAAAATTTCATGAATAAACGCTGGAGGTTTCTCCAAGTATTTTATCCTATCACTCTTGTCAGATTAAAGACTATTTGCACTAGTGTTCGACACTAGAGACTATAGCGAGAATACAGCACCCCCACTTCGCCTCGTAAATTTCGGCGAAGAAACCACTCCACTGCAGTGACTTTGACAGTTATACAACCGAAAAGGACTCGAGCACGAATTCTTAGAAGAACTGGAGTCTTAGTTGGTTTGAATAGCCTGTAAAAGACATTTACAACCTGAAAGGAGATCTTTCGATACAAGCCATTTTGAAATTATTTCTCTCAGCGTGACCACAAAGACCATAATTCACTGCGCGCGTCCGGCCTTCTGACGCCATTAAGCATAAGGTCTATTAAACTGCTTTTTGAAAAGCCTTATTAATACATATACAGATTTGGCTTACAGTAAGGGTCAAAGCAAAATTTGAGGCATTTCACTTTGCCCTGCTACTAGGGAGGTGGTCCACTAGGCAGGTGGTCCAACCCAGGTAGTCCAAGCTACCGCCTCAGGGCGTCTTGTTTTTTTTAATAAATCTATCGGCGATGTTCTAGGATGTTCTTTTATGCAAAGACCACTGATAGACATCGCCGATTAATTACGATGAAAACCAGGCTTAACAAAATTGTTTTCTGTTCAGGACCTTTCAAGAGAACCAGACGTAGACAAGTTGGCGTCGCGTGTGCAGGAGGTTCGCCAGGAAACTGACGGGGAGACAGACGAAGATGAGGATCGAGATAAGGATGGAGAGGATGGGGAGACAGACGGAGATGAGGATGGGGATGGAGATGTGGGTAGAGATCAGGATGGGGTGAAAGGTGGAGATGAGGATCGAGATAAGGATGGAGAGGATGGGGAGACAGACGGAGATGAGGATGGGGGTGGAGATGTGGGTAGAGATCAGGATGGGGTGAAAGATGGAGATGAGGACGAAGTGGATGGGGGGGAACACGTTTTTCTGCAGTTGTTGGTCAACGCCTATGGTAAAAACCAAATTCGCGGGCAGTATCAAGGAGCATTTAAAGGAAAATTTAAAGGGAAGACAATGGAAGAATTGTCGTGGCGAGGTATCATTCGCTTGTGGTACCAAAAAAACGGAACGATGGTGTGCGAATGCGACGGAAAGAAAGCAAAGAACACGGACTGGGCGATGATAAGACATATTGAAAGAACTGCGCACGATTTACAAACCGGCATACCGTTTGTGTTCGTCAAACCATAGGGGGCAAATTTGTAGGGATGAGCCGATAAGGAAAATTGCCGATTACTGAGGCCGGTTATTTATAAGCCGATTATCGTAACTAATCGGCCGATTAATCGGTACCTGCCGATTATTTTAAAAAGCAAGCGCAAAATCACAAGATGACCAACAATGAAGTTGTAAAATTAATGTGGTTTTATTGTTTACAATACACATTATGTACAATTAAAAACAGCTTCAATCTTGCATGTCAACTGCTCAAAGTTTAGTTTTGGCAGATTATGGTGTAAAAACAGGATATTGTCAGCTATGCGGAGCTACCCTGTAGTTTGCTGCGTTTTTCAGTGGAAATGTTCCCATCTTCACTTCGCTTGAGACAAAAGACACAGGTTTTGCAACAAAATGTGAAAATCTATTCGCTTATATTCCGCATTTTAGCATGTGCTTGACAGCTGCAGAAAAAGTCTTATGGCCGATTATTTGCCGATTATCATGCAATAATCGGCCGATTATCGATTATTTAAAAAACGGCCGATTAATCGGCTTTGCCGATTATTTACCGGTTAATCGGCTCATCCCTACAAATTTGTGTAGTGTTGCGAAGATAGACACCTACAATTATAAAAAATTATATATATTTAAAATTTTGTATACAAAATTTCCAATACCAGTGTTTTTGGTTTAAAATGTCTGCAAAAGGCAACTAAACATTCTATCCGCGACAATGGTAACGGTTCCCATTTTTCCAAATTTTAACTTCAGAATGCCTATTATTATAACCATTCTGGCGTCGATTAGCTATAATGAGGTCTTGCTCAAAACGCTATTTCTTCTCCAATATTAGAGTTCCGGTAGTAATTGTTGCGGCATTAGAAACTACGGTAATTCGCAGATTGTGCAACGTTATTACCTGAATGCAATTGCTCCATTTGCCCCTCGCCCATTTGCCCATTTGACGCAATTTTTAAATTCAAATCTTCTCGGTTCCTCAAAAGCTTGAAAATAGAATCTATTTGCCTTAACATTCAGCTGAAGCTTGTTAACTAGCTCAAAGTAGCAGTTATAAATCTTAATTAAATAATGCTCACGACTATCGTTTCTTGGTAAACTATCATTGTATTATTTTCTATTGTAATATCCTCAAGCCGTAATTGGCGATGCTCTTGAGAGCGCATACCAAATAGTTTCCCGTTGTAAAAATAAACTGTATATAGCTGTTTTTCGCCCAATGCTTCTGCCTGCCACATTTGTTCTTCCTCTTCATCCGTCACAGCAGAGTTGCAAAACCTGTTCAAATTTCCTCCTGGTAAAATTTAAAGTTTTCAGGCCTTTCTCAAAATAAATTAAATATTAAAATATGGCTTCATGAAATAGCAATATACTAGAATATATAAACTCAACTGATTCTTAAAGCATAAAATTCAAAAGAGATATGTTGTTGAATGTAGTACATGATTCTAATATTATAATTTGCCATAATAGATTTATACTTTCGACAAATTGTACCTAGTCCTTACCTTCTACGTCTACATCGTATATATTGAATATAAAAAAATACATTAAAAAATTAAGTCATGAACTCAAGATAATCTTTAAAATGTGATGGTTTCTGAATCTGTAATAGAAAGCTCAACGGTACATGTATAAAAATTGAGAAAATCAACAACTTGTTCCCAGTTGATATTAACAGGTGTGAACAAGGTTGTGCTGTCCACTATGAACAAGTTTGTTCATAGTGGGCAACACAACCTTCCTGTCAATATCAACTGAAGTTGTTGATTTTTATGCCTGTACACATATTATATAGAGGTCAGCAGTAAAACCATGGCAATAACATTTCAGAGGTAGTATTTGATGTTTCTGTACTTGTGCTTGTGGTTTTGAAAGACATTTCAGAGTGTTTAGGTCTTTAGAAGTGTGACCTAATCGCCCAATTTCACAATCAGCAAGGCAGCAAATGCTCTCACTTGTTTCCGAAGCAAAGTGCTAAATTTAAACCAAGCAGTATAGTGCCCAGAATGGCGGTTTATAATCAATGGCAATGCTTAGAATGGTTGAAAATCAATGGCAATATAATCTCTTATAACAGATGCTGCCAATCCTGCCGTATACTTATGGTTATCTTAAAGTTTGTGGGAATTGACAGTGTTGTTATCAGGTATGTAAACAATGATTTCGCTTATTGGACCTCGATACATTTTGACGATCTGTTAAATATGTATGAGAGTTACACACCTCGGTAATCAAGCTGTATTATTTTCGTCAGCCTCACATTACACATGCTAAAATTTGTTCCTCATCTTTGTTTATAATTTTTGTGGCAGTTTACAACATTTCACCTTGGCCATATTTATATCATTACAATGATTAGTTGCTACAGCATTGATGGTTCATTTCATTTATAACTATTAGTTATTCTCTAAAAATATTGGTATCATGTACTCAAATAATCTCTAAATAATATAATATTGCTCAAGCGAGTTTCTTATTGTAACCATGATGAATAGCTCAATGTAATAGCCTCCTGTTATTGGCGGTGCAATGGTTTAAGGTGCCTCTGATGCTTGACACTTGTACATTTTATTTTTACAGAATATTTTCAGTTATTGTCTTCTCAGCATTCTCCAATCAATGTCATAGTCATCTGATATAGGTACTATATCATAATAGTACCACCAAAACTTGTCAGCTTCAACTGCCTATTCAACTACGATTTATTTGTTTTACTTTTTTGGTGTTGCCAACTGTTGACCACTAAACTGACCTCGCCTATGGTAAACCTGCCTTGCGGTTAATGGCTGCAGCTTTTTTTCAACTCTGCGTCACAGGTTCCTTCTCAGCCGTTGTATTTGTTACCCCTGTGGCATGAACATCTTTCATTTTGGCATCAACAATCCGTCTCAATTCGGCAAAGCTGGAAGCAAAAATGAGAACTATAATTTAAATATCACTTAAACCAATAAATAAATAAAACATCGAATATACAATTAAATATTTCATAATTATTATATATTACTAACATATTACTAACTATATTACATAACTATTACTACCAGTTTAGTTTACTTACTACATATTAGATTTGTCAAACAACTTAATATCATTGCGGTTCTTGCACTCAAGGTGCTTTTTCAGACCACTGACGATTTGGTATAGTATGGTGGCCTATCGTTGTCAGCACAACAAAAATGAACAATATTAAATTAAAATTAAATTAATACAAAATTAAAACAAAATTGAATTAAAACACAATAATAAATAAAATGAAATAAAAATACTAAAGAAATTGATTATCAAAGTAAAATGAATTTCAGGCCAGCCTATCATTGTCACAGTATACCATAATGCTTTGACGAAACACGTGCGGCTGTGAAGTATATTTTATGATTACAACAATGAGCAACCAAGCATGGAAAAATTTCAACCAAAATATGAAAGAAAAATGACTCACGAAAAGCAAAAAGAAAGAAAGATGTGTTCTGAATTCGGGTGAACTTGTCTACAGCGACTTAGCCCATTGTGCCCGGCAAAACGCAGAAGTATTTGAGGGTAGGTCCGAGAGAATTCGTATCATTCCCTAGTGACGATCAACAACATCAAGTCTGTGTGTGAGAAACACTTTTTGTTTGTCACTCAGAGTGGCTTAGTGTGTGATGTAGTTGCTGGAGATCAAGGGCTCCTCGTTGCAAGAGATCCCCGATACGAAAGTTATTCATGTTCATTTTATATAAAGCATTGACACCAAACTTGAGACAGTGCAAGATACGTCTGGCTCTCAGTCAAAGCGTATTAAAAAGACACCAAATTTGTTTGGTGGTTCACCGTCAAATGCACAGGTTTGTACGCCCCCTGGAAATCCTTGAAAACCCTGGAATTTCGAATTTATCCCTGGAAACCCTGGAAAACTGAGAAACTGAACTGGGTATAGGATCATACCTAAACTATTTAAGACTATCTTAAAAAAAAAGATTAACACAAGGTTCTTGCATTATATATAGTCAAACTATGAATATATTTTGTTCAAACTGGTACAAACCCAAAAGTGTCTGTGCAAGATGAAGTACTAGCCGTCGTGAACGTAGCCTATACCACTATGGCATGATACATGCATGCATTAAGGCTGGAAATTATGAAGTATATACTATATATCATGAACTATAAAACGTACTCATTGTGCTAACACAAACTCGATTTCTCAACGACGAAAAAAACGTCCCTAATTAAACCAAACAACCAGATTACTTATTACACATGCTATTATATACACAGCCAGAAACATGCAAGTTACAGCCGGTCTGCTGCAGACTTGATTCAACTTGCAATCATCAAGCCGATATCAGGATGCGTTCGCATCACTTGCTCTGGCTTGATAATATCATAACAGACTTGATGCAAGTGTCATCCACAGGCTTGATGCAAGTTGCGAACTGCAGGCTTGATGCAAGTTGCGAACTGCAGGCTTGATGCAAGTTGTGAACTGCAGAATTGAAGCAAGTTGCACTTGACATGACAACAGAAGGCTTTCAAACACACGTTTTCTTCGTCTTTCCTGCACATTGTCTGCAGGAAACATGTACAAATGTCGTGTATAGCGTGGACAAGAAACAAAATCAAATATAAGAACACATGGGAAGAATGGTTTTTATATATTATCTGTGTTTATTTTCGTCTTCAATATAGTTCATCAATAAAAGATAAAAAAAAAGATCTACTAATTAAGCTATCGTGAAAGAGGAACCATTATATGGTTCTTTAAAAATTGTTTATACAATAAAGTACAAACAGCTAGAGCAGATATTTAGCTCAACCTAATTGTCAGTTGACAGTGGTATTACATCATCCAAATATCATATCTAATCAATATGAAAAAATGTGCCTATTTTAAGTAATTGGTTTACACAGAAACACATTGATCGAAGTTCACTATAAATACAAAATTCCTGTCGCTATATATTCTCCTCATTTATATGTAGCATGCAAATTAATTATAAACTAAGGCATATCTCTGTGAACTCTAATTACTTGTAGATCTTTCACATCTCATTAAACTCAAAGGCATCATTCCCTAGATAAAAGGGATTCAAACACAAAAAATTTTTTCAGTCTATTAAAAGTACTCATTTAGTATAGGTTTCTACCAAAAGAATTTTTCGATTTCATCAAAATGAAAAAATTTTAGAGCCGTTTGAATCCAAATATTTTTGGCTAATGGCCGTCTGCGACAGAAGTCTGGCACTAGCATTTATTCTGACATCACACAGGTGAGTCGAGTCTTGATGGTCTGTTGTGGTTAAGTTATCTGTTTTAATTTTAATCAGCTCGAAGGTTTTGATCGCTGAAGTGTTTAACTTTTTATATTCTAAGTTCTATAAAGTATCATGTCAACAGAATCAGTCCGACGATTCCGGAGCAAATTTTATACCTGGTTAAAATGTTGTATTGGAAGATGCTGATCTGTATCATCTCGTCAGGTCTCTAGTGGTATCATTAATATTACCAAATCTGCGACGCGGATGTGACGAAAAACTGCCGCTATTATCACAGTTTCACTTCACAGATAAAAACTGTTGTTGGTAAACAAAGTCAGGGACACAAGAAACACAAAGTAAAACTAGTCTCCCATTTATATTAGCAATTGTTTTTTAGTCGCGCCATGTCTCAGCTTTGAACATCTTTAATAAGCTTCCTACTAACGTAGACGTTCTATGACTTTGCAAGGTTCATATCTCCGGTTCAGTGCATGCTATGAAGATAAAAGTACTACCATTCGATTCAGTGAAACAAAATCTCCTTATTTCTAATGATAGTTTTAGTCAAATATAGTTTTAATCAAATAGTTATTTATGACCTTTGAGAGGTCAAGCGGTGTCATAATTCATTTATATATTACTCAATTAGTTTCGAACAATGTAAAGTAGCCATACCTTTAGCCGTTTGAACACGCAAAATTTGGGCTTTTGGTTGGCAGGCATCCGTGTTCAAAGGAAACTGGAACGAGCGATTTTTGTTACGTCATGCAAGTGAGTCGGCGTATATTCTATTATTCGACTATACTAGTACTATCAACTCTTGGCGGATATATAGGTAGATTTGTGATCGAAAAAGATATGCCTTTTTACTGTGTTGCAGCTAACTATGCCAATAAAGCATGTTTAAAAGATGGAATAAATCTACACATACTTCAATGACAAACACGCGGAAGCTAAAAGACGAAGAAAAGTATGGGTTGATTTTGTATGCACAAAGCATACAAAAGACTTTGACTGTATGCTCGGATCATTGTAGAACAGAGGATTACGAGAGACAATTCTTTTCGTTGACGGGGCTCGGCAAGCCTAACTATCTGAAGCTAATAAAGACTGTCTGACGATGATTTGCTTTGTTGTGATGATTCAATTTGCAATTGTATTTTGATTTTGCAGGCCAGCTAAAAATATAAATATTTTTGTAATCCCGAAATAAAAGATGCAAATCTGCAGATACAAGCTTGAAAATAACAATCTAAATAGTGTTTTGGATTCCAGTTCGAATAAGACTATTACGAAAAAGATATGTCAGAAGGGGCCGAAGTTATGGTCGGCTCTAAAATGTTTGTGTTTTGATGAAATCGAAAAATTCTTTCACTAGAACACTATACTAAGGGCCTGTTCATATGGGCAAAAGTTATCCCGGTTAACGAGAAAAGACAGAAAGTTATCCCGCCAAGCGGGAAAGTTGTGTTCATGGTATGATGTAATACCACTGTCAACTGACAATTAAGTTGAGCTAAATATCTGCTCTAGCTGTTTGTACTTTATTGTATAAACAATTTTTAAAGAACCATATAATGTTCCTCTTTCACGATAGCTTAATTAGTAGATCTTTTTTTTATCTTTTATTGATGAACTATATTGAAGACGAATATAAACACAGATAATATATAAAAACCATTCTTCCCATATGTTCTTATATTTGATTTTGTTTCTTGTCCACGCTATACACGACATTTGTACATGTTTCCTGCAGACAATGTGCAGGAAAGACGAAGAAAACGTGTGTTTGAAAGCCTTCTGTTGTCATGTCAAGTGCAACTTGCTTCAATTCTGCAGTTCACAACTTGCATCAAGCCTGCAGTTCGCAACTTGCATCAAGCCTGCAGTTCGCAACTTGCATCAAGTCTGTGGATGACAACTTGCATCAAGCCTGTGGATGACACTTGCATCAAGTCTGTTATGATATTATCAAGCCAGAGCAAGCGATGCGAACGCATCCTGATATCGGCTTGATGATCGCAAGTTGAATCAAGTCTGCAGCAGACCGGCTGTAACTTGCATGTTTCTGGCTGTGTATATAATAGCATGTGTAATAAGTAATCTGGTTGTTTGGTTTAATTAGGGACGTTTTTTTCGTCGTTGAGAAATCGAGTTTGTGTTAGCACAATGAGTACGTTTTATAGTTCATGATATATAGTATATACTTCATAATTTCCAGTCTTAATGCATGCATGTATCATGCCATAGTGGTATAGGCTACGTTCACGACGGCTAGCACTTCATCTTGCACAGACACTTTTGGGTTTGTACCAGTTTGAACAAAATATATTCATAGTTTGACTATATATAATGCAAGAACCTTGTGTTAATCTTTTTCTTGTGTTAACCTTGTGTTAATCATGGCAACAGCATGCTTAGAATAAAGCTCAAAATTTGTCTTTTCAGGTCATTTTAAAAATTCCCTTCGGTGAATTTTTTAAAAGTTTGCATAAAAGGTAATACTTGTATAATGATTTTTTCCTCTCAATTTAAAAAAATTAAATCGATATCGATACGTTTCTTAGAAAATTTAACAAACGTCAAAAATCAATATTAAAAATTTTCCCTTCGATTTAATTTTTTAAAAAAGGATATTGCACTTGTTGTGCCGATACTAAAAAATGTGCAGTTTTAAAAAATTTCACCGAACAAAAACGGAGAAATTTGGGTTTAATTTTGGCAATTTTTACAAGATTTTGACCACAACTGACGTGTACATGCATTTTGTATAAAACAACAAGGCATGACTTTTTTGCAATCACAAAATATAAATTATGTTTGATATACTGTTTATAACTGTGTCGGTTAATAGTCAACAAAGCATGGATTATACATGTAAAATTGGCAAAGATATTGCTATTTGAAAAATGTCAAAATTCGTCCCATGCGAGTTAGTACTATTGTCGGATGTTTTCGCAAAATGCCCGTTCAAATTTCAGTTTTTATACTGGCATGTTTAGAGTTTCGGCCCTGCTCATTTCACCCGTAGAGGGCTCATTATTTAAGGCATCTATACCACATTGACTAATGACAATGCCGTAATTCAACCCTATTATCTTGGATGTTATCCTGCTAATATTACACTGGAAAATATACGTGAAAATTGTTGGGTGTGGAATACAGATGAAGCTAATAAATCAGGTGCTCATTGGGTGGGCGTAGGCAAACATGGAAAACATATTATTTTCTTTGATAGTTATGGGAAAACACCAACGTTTTTTAAACGTAATTATTGGTTGAAATATTTTCAAGATTTAAAATGCAATATAACAATGTATTCCAATATTCAACGACAATCTTACATTAGTCGTACTTGTGGCGTATGGTGTTTACTGTTTCTACTGGAACAATGGCAACCCAATACTATTTTGAAGAAATTAAGTTCAAATTAACTTTTGGTTAAAGGACATCGGCAATGGATTTTTTTATTGCCTTGTTTTGTTCTCTATAATTGTCTTAGTCAAGATATGTATTTTATTTGCGATGAAAATATCTCAATTTGTAGTAAAGAGCGAATGAATTTGGTCTAATTATGCATATCGCCCGCCATTTTGAAAGCACATTTTGGAAAATTATCTTTCATGTCATTTGAGGCCTCTGACGTCATTGGCAGGGGAGAAGCAAAACAATACGCTGTCGCTACTATAACTTTTGATCAGTTTTAACTTTTGTGAAGAATTTTCGCCGGTTCTAGGCTTTCTATGGACGAAATTCACGAGAATCAGTTAGGTGAAGTGTTACCTTATCAGTTTGAACCTGTTTTAAACAAAAATACTGGTAGCAGTGGGGCAGAAGCGATTCCGAGAGGGAGTCGTCCTCAAAGGCTCAGACGACGACTTGAGACTTCGATGAAGCATTCGAGGCTGAGAATATCTGGCGTCTTAAATCGCGCAGTTGGTGAAAGTTTGGCCACTGTCCCTTGCAAACAAAGACAATAGGAAGTTTTTTCTCGCACGAAAAGGCTTTAGAGTACGATGAGTACGACCCTTTAGTCACAAATGCTGAAGGAAGCGGTCAATGTTGGTTTTAGTTAGCTGTGGGTTAGTTATGGACTTATGGTATTTATAGGTTTACTTCGTTTGGTCAAAATTTTCTAATGATGTCGTTTGTAGTGCAGAAGGTAGTTCTTCGATGATTAACGTATGTTCGGCCTCTAAAGTTGTTAGAGCTGCATTGACAGTCCTATTCAGTTCTGGCGATTTGTTCTAGTGATTTATTCTGCGTCGTTGCTGTATCAAATAACTGTCTAAACCACAGTGATTCTGTTGTTATGAATGTCTGTGTTTTGAATGTGTGTGATTTACGTGTTTCAGCGAGGTCTGACTTCTGAGTGTATTTTGATCCTAACTGTGGAGCGTAAATCAACTAAATGTCTTCAGATATCTGAACTGGCTATTATTTCTTCCTCGCAAACTGCGTCTGAGTCTATGCGAACGTCTGCTTTTATATCGCTTAGATTACTCGCAAGTCGCAACCGGCAAATTTTCATCCTCTGTTGATGAAAGTGACTTTAATAACCACTCATCAAGATTCTAAATTGTGAAACAATGAAGAAAAATAAGGACATTGAAGAAGCAGAATTTATTAAAGCTATCGGTAAATGTATCTTTCAAGTACTGGTATCTTTTGACGTTGTCTCCTCTCGGTTTGTCTCCTTGTTCTCTTCGATTGTGACGATGCAGATACGTTAGAAACGCTAGCACTGGTCGTAGGCTTGTCAAGCGTTGGTAAACATTAGGCTTTACGCAACTCGTTTTCTCTGTGTATCCAATGCTTTCGAGGAATTGAGGAGAATGCGAGGGTCCATATGACTCCTCGGCAAAATGAAGCGAGCAAATTCTTGTACAAAGTGAGGGTTTGAATGCTTTTCGTTTGCAAAATTCTTCCCAAACCGCTCTACGGCTCTTCTGCTCAGGCATTTTGCCGCAAGGAAAACGAAAGAAATTAACGTTTCTATTTGTCTTCAGTTGACTATCACTATATTGCAGCCGCACACAGGGCAATATACATTGCTTAACTTTGACCTTCATGGTTTAATACGTATTACATGAATGCAATAGTCTGTGGAAAAATATAGATTATGACATAGTCCGTTTATGTTTTGCGTTTTATATGTTTTTTTAGAAAACTAAAGCATCATTTCTTACCTACCCTCGCCCAGAAAAAAATGAACAAAAAATGAATTGGTTTCAAAAGTGATTTTAAAAAATTAAACTTAGGCCTATGTCAACTGTTAAGCTACAAGATGTTCGGCGCGCCTACACTAAGACGTAAATACTCGTCGCATATCTTCCGCAAGGCGAAAGAACGCTTACTATGGAAATTTATAGAAATAAACTAGGTTGCTATGTCATTTTTATGCAATTTCCTCAAATAACGTAGAAAAAAACAGCATGTAAACTATAGCTATTAACAAGGGCCGTATACCTTGTATAATCCGTTCCCCTGCCAATGACGTCAGTAAGGCATTTCAGCATAAATTAGCATATCGGGAATTTCTTCAAGATGGCGGACACCATGCATAATTAGACCAACTTCATTCGCTTTTTACTCCGAATCGAATAATTTTCATTCCAAATAAAATACATATCAACAATATGAAATTGGTCGAAGACCCGTACTCAGGAAATAAAATAACAACATAAAACGCTCACTGAGTTTCCAGCGATATCCATACCCTTTTCTAGATATATACCTAATAATAATAAACAAACGAACGAATGTATTCCTTCCACTCGTGAGCTCATTTACCATTGTCACATATAGTAAATGTCCAGGCCTTGTGTCCAGGCCTTGTCCATGAGTTGTGTGAGACATATTGTTATGCTAATGATAATTTTGTAGGTGGCTAACAAGAGGCATTCACTTTGGACGTTCGTTCATGCGCAGTTGTTCAATCGTTCTCTTGTAATGGTTGAATAAATAAGCCTTTGTGTGTGTGTATTCTTTCCTTTTAAGTGCCCATCCAGGGTCACAAGGCCTGGACATTTACTATATGTGACAATGGTAAATGAGCTCACGAGTGGAAGGAATACATTCGTTCGTTCGTTTATTATTATTAGGTATATATCTAGAAAAGGGTATGTATATCGCTGGAAACTCAGTGAGCGTTTTATGTTGTTAAAATACATATCCTTATTAAGATAACCAACGTGAACAAAAATAGCCAATAAAAAAATCCGTTGCCGATGTCCTTTAACCGTCACTATCGTTCAAGGTTCACAAACAGGGTTTTCGTCCATCCAAAGTACATTTCAGTTACTGAGCTAAACTTCAGCAAGTCTCGTATGGTAATATAAATATGGCTGTGTCGTTATCTGACCAATATGTCCTGTTTATACTACAAAACGTCGGCCAGGAGAACAGGCTCTTACAAGAACAGTTAAAATTAAAGACGACTATAAACGAGACGAAGTTGTCCATCGAAGATATGAAGGTTGATAAAATGGACAATTTGTCAAACAGAACTGCGAGACACGTTACCAAAGCTATGCAGGGTAAGCATATTTGTACTTATATCTGATAAATTGTGTATACATGTCATTTCAATGGTATAGAACGCTCTGATTTAATGAAAGTTTAGGCTCCTAAAATAATTGCGTCAAATATTCAAAGGCTAATTCAAGATTGCTGAACTCAGTCATAGATGCTGTTTAATAATTTATTACATGCAAATCACTGCTAAAAATACTACAGTATATACCCCATTTACTGTATATATATTATAGAACCCTTGTCTTTGCCCTTGGCAGGCAAAACGTGCAAGTTATGTTTACGCAATATATTTCTGATCTGCACTGTTGTGTTATGCCTGACTCAAGGAGGACAGGCATACATAGGGGAATTTGGCAGTTTCAATTTTGCTACTGTATGTATGACAATAAGCCTGAAAATAAGAAAAATATGCCTGACCACGGTGGGAATCGAATCTACGACCTTTGGAATGCTAGCCCAATGCTCTGCCAACTGAGCTACGCGGTCTGGTCGGTTCGAGTATGCGATATTTCGGAACAGAATCTAGTTCCTTTGATATCAATGTAATCTAGTAATAATGATATTTTCTGTGTTGGTGCAAGCCAACAAGTACAACCGCGTAGCTCAGTTGGCAGAGCATTGGGCTAGCATTCCAAAGGTCGTAGGTTCGATTCCCACTGTGGTCAGGCATATTTTTCAAGCTTGCCCGGTGTGGATATACACTCAGAATAACATCACAAGCATCTTATTCATCTGAGTACATTGCACCAACACAGAAAATATCAAGTTAACTTGTATTTGCAGGCCAGCTAGGCCCGTAGCTAGACTGATCATTGGGGGTGTATATTCATATATTTGTGTTCTGCCTGAGGGATTTCTTTTGAAAGTAATTGTTAACGTTGTTACACTACATGAACATGAATATATGAATATACACCCCCCCACCACCACCCCCACCCCTCCAATTATCGGTTCTAGCTACGCCGCTGTTGCAGGCATACACTTATGAAACATGAGTCATCTTATACAGCTATACTAAATATTCTGTTTTAATTTTAGTGTTGACTCTCAACACAACATCATGCTGCGTTCCAAGGTTTCCAAGGAACTGGCTCATGAGTATGGAGGGCCACAACTGTTTTAATAAAAGGTATGGTGTACACAGTATTTATGGTATTTGTAATTGTCTTGCCCAAGGCCAAAAAAAATATGTGGGTTTCCGGTTTCTTCTTATAAAAACTTAGGTAGGGTAGGTCGGTTTTAATCTTTTTTAAACTTTTTTTAAAATTTTCCAAACAAATGAATGCCATTTTGTTTAGTCAGTGCTTTCACATCCAAATTAGATAAATTTCCCTAATATTGCCTCAAATTTCAATTTTCCACGAACTTTTTCCTCTAAGTGGAAACACTTACAAGCATGATCCAATAAAAAAGTTTAGGGTCGGGATTTCAACGTCCAAAAGGTAGGTAGGGTCGGGAAACCGGAAACCCACATATTTTTTTTGGCCCAATAGATATATTTTAAAACCTTATACCGGTAACTCCTGTGGTATCTGGATTCTGGTAATCACTTTACCATACTTTACTCTGTCAATTTTTCAATATTAATTACCAGGTGATATATGTTGGGGGGTCACAAAACTCCCAACACAGCAACGTCTATAGAGTGGTATCACTTTAGTTTTGCTCACACCAGAGAATCGTCCTATATATGACTAAAGCTAGACAATTGTACTGTACTTGTACATAGCACATGTCTCAAAATTTGATTTAATTAAAGACTTTTGAGCATAGTATAGAAAGAGTATAATATGCAGCTACTGTAATTCTTATGATGTTGTCACAAGCAATGCTGTATTGCAGTAGTCAAATGTCACATGCCAGCAATATTATCTGCATTTGCTTGCATTTTGTCAAAAATATTTGCGTTTTGGATTGTAGAATTGACTATTGCATGTGACAACCTTTGCATGTGGACTGTATTTAAAGAATGGTCCTTAAAATGATTTTTTCTGTGTTGGTGTTATGTACTCAGGTGAATATGATGTTTGTGCAATGATACTCTGAGTGTATAACCACACCGGGGAAGTTTGAAAAATAGACCTGGCCAGGGTGGGAATCAAAGCTACAGTACGACCTTGGAATGCCCAATGCTTTGCCAACTGAGCTATCATGATTACTAGATTGCATTGATATCGAAAAAACTAGACTCAGTTCTGAAATATCACATACTCGAACCAACTTGACTGCGTAGCTCAGTTGGCAGAGCATTGGGCTAGTATTCCAAGGGTCATCTAGGTTCGATTCCAACCGAGGCCGGGCATATTTTTCAAGCTTACCCTGTGTGGATATACACTCAGAGTGACATCACAAGCATCATATTCACCTGAATACATTACACCAACACAGAAAAAATCATGATTATTAGATTGCATTGTTATCGAAGTAACTAGGCTCATTTCCGAAAATCACATAGTATTACTCGAACCGACCTGACTGCGTAGCTCAGTTGGCAGAGCATTGGGCTAGTATTCCAAGGGTCATAGGTTCGATTCCCACCGTGGCCAGGCGTATTTTTTTCAAGCTTGCTTGGTGTGGATATACACTCAGAGTAACATCACAAACATCATGGTCTTTAAAATGTTTACGCGGTTTTTACATATGATTTGGTACAAGTTCTCGTGAACATCCAGAACAAATTATTTTGCGTGTTTAAATTTTCCACCAACATTAACACACAGCAAGGGATTAAAGACTTTGAAGATTTGTTAACAGCTTTAGCATTAATTTACACAGTATAACCAATTTTTTAAGATTGAATTTTTATTATTTTATAAAGGACGAGGTTTGAACTTATAACACTGCATTTAATTTTGATAGGCATTAATTTAGCTTTGTATTTCAAGGGGGTTGCTCAATCTAAAACATCCGTCTTTGGGTGTTTGTGACATTTGTGACACTCTATTTGAAAGTTACCTTTTGCTTTGTCTCCCCGAGCAATGTATAAATTTAAATACATGCAGTAAATGACATTTTTATGCTCATTGCTTGTAATGCCTCGATAACCTCGTGGATGAATCTGTAAGGCTTCCAAAGTCGGATTTCTTGCTGAGCAAAGTTGTGGCATGCATAAGCAGTCTACCTAACACCCCCCCCCCCAAATTACTTACTGTATGTCGCCTGCGACGAAAAGTATGTAAAATGATTATGAAGAAGAATTTAAAGAACTTTCAGAGTCTGAACAACGCGCATACGGTGGAAGGAAAAGTCATCCAGGCAATGTCATCCAATCATCAAATCAACATTTGATACAAAATTGTACTGTGTGAACTCAATAGTCAAAATTTGTACTATAAGTTTTCTAAGAACTTGTAGTAGTGTCAAGCTTATTTGTTATTATTTTGTATCTTTCTTTAGAGACTTGCACGCAGGCTGAAGCACGTGGAAAAGGCAAATTGGGGTGCCCAGAAAACGGCAAGAGTGTTCGATGTTATGAGGGCAGGCTACTGTACATGTCATCAGAAGAAAGCGAGGTCGACGAAACAACAAAAAGGATCATGCGTTACAACGTTCGTAGGCTACCCTGGGAGAGTCCATCTCTATACGAAGGGCAAAGAAAAAGTTAGACAGGCTCCACACCTTGTCTTTGTCAGAACTGGTACGGAGCAGAATTGTTCCTCGCGAGGATGGACAGCCCTCCATTCAACCTAAGCCAAACGACTTCCCGGAGTGGGCAGCTAAGAACGAGGATGATAATGTTGTTGATGAGAGTGCCCAGTCATTATCCCTAGTGGCTCTTCGCTGAATGACTCTGTTAATGACATTTTAAATGATCATGACTCTGATTGCTATAGTTTTTCAGTATAGTAAAGACCCACGATATATCACCCAAAGTTTTCCATGTTCTAATGTATTAAGTTAAGAGTGCTTTATATATTTGTTGTGAACCTGCATGGCTTCTTAAACAGGTTCATACAAAATTCTAAATAGAAATGTTAGACTGAAAGGTTTTTATTCGTGGGTTTTCATTCTGCACGTGATAATTTGATAATCAAATTTATGAGTTTGCGTAATTTACACTGTTTATACGATATGCATTTATTCTGCATGGCAGATTTGTATGTTATTTATATGGTAAATATAAAATTGAAGAAAAAATTGTGTGCTGAAATCTTTTTTTTTGTCTTTGGAGACATTACTTCCTGCTTTGCTATTAAACTCGCCACTGGAGCAGCTTGTTTGCTATTACGTTCAAATCTGGGAAACGCCAGAGAGATCTATGAATGGCATTACTTTTGTTTTATTGATCATCTTACCTGCACGTACAATTTATTAACGAAAATATCTAAAACATGGCTTAACTGTAACTATTATTATTTGACATTTGCATTTGCGATTTTGAATAGTTTGTTTAACCATTAATGTTTAACCATTAATGGTTAAACAATACTATAGGTATTTAATTAAATGGCAAATGGAAACGTCAAATAGACAATATACGTTTCTTTTCTGTTCTTTTCGTACGACATTAAATGTGTTTTAAGGTTAAATAAACATACAAAACACCTTTGCTTAAAGTTGAGTAAAGACATGTACCTTTTCACAGTTTCAACACCACATTAAATGTGATTAAAAGTTAAATAAAGATACAAAACACCTTTTCATAAAGTTGAGTAAAGGCATGTACAGGTACCTTTTCACAATTTCAACACATTAAATGTGATTAAAGGTAAAATAAAGATTCAAAACACCTTTGCTTAAAGTTGAGTAAAGACATGCACCTTTTTACAATTTCAACACCACATTAAATGTGATTAAAGATGTAAAATACCAGAGCAGAAAAGCTTTGTATATGTAGCTTCAAGGTACCTTTACAACTCATTTCTCTTCGCAGTTAAAGACAAGTTAGAAACCTTTAATTCCCTTTAAACAACCTTTTCTCATTCTTTAATAGGTCGTCTTTAATCATCTATAATTATACTATAATTTGGACATTTAAAGCCTCCAGAAAAATCTTTAATCTGCATGCTGAAAGGAGAGTTTAGGTACATTTACTAAATTTAATCAAACTGATTAAATGTGAATAAAGCCGCCAATAACATCGCTTTACGCCACCTTTAACCATGATGATAGCTACTGATTTCGTCCTG